CTGCTATATACCTGTAACTGTTTTAGGCACTGGGTATAATGTAATGATCAAAATTTCAAACATTTTCTCCCTCAGAAGTTGAAAAAAGCAAGTTAGGTAGCGTGACCAATGACTTGCCAAACCAGATGCCAAATCCTAAGGGAGTCAGAGAGCTGTAAACCGTAAACTGCTGCAAGTGACGAGACTTTTGGGGGTACGAAAGTACTTCAGGATCAGGGGTTTAACTCAAATGCACACGCTGGATGGCATTGTTAAATTAAGAAATGCAATTTATGGTTTAATATTTTCATTATCAGAGACTCTACACTAGGTGGCATCCAGAGTCAGGATGGAAGCCGTAACCAGCAATGGAAAGCCAATGTTAATTGAGTTTCTGTGCTAGAAGCAGCTTTCCTGTGGATCTTAAGAGAAATAGTAATAAAAGAGAAAGGGATGAGGTTGCTTTAAGGGATGATCAAAACGCTCTTTGTTGTAAGGGATGTGGAGGTGAAGAAACAAGGAAAAGACTCATGTGATGGCTACAGGGCAGATTGAAAGTTGGAAAGAAGAAGGCTGAGAAATTTTAAAACTATAAAATCATAATGGTATTCAGGTGAACATACAGCCTTATTGCCTAGAATGAGGAGGGGGAGCTTGTATCAAGAGAGTTTAGGATAAAGAAAAAGGATTGCTGTGCAGAGATGGAGTACATAAATGGAACTCTTACCTTTCATTGTTGGGAGATTTTGAAATAAATTTAACCGACTTAGCAAAGTTTAATGGACAATGGAGCCATAAAAGATATCATCTCTCATGCCTGTCCTGATTATGGAATTAGATGAGCCACTGCCTAACCCAATAGTGAAAATGTTGGTAGGCAATATTACTGGCAGAAAAGTAATTTATCCAACAGTAATGAGCACATGGGCAAGCGTGCAATGTCCAAAATTACTTTAAACGTAAAATAAAGTTGGGAATCTATACAACTCTATATACTTACAAATGAAAACAACTTCTGAAATAGCACTTGAAGAACCAGGTCTTGACAGAAATTGACTTCTGCTTATCTGTGACAGGTTGGAAGAACTAGAAATAGACTATCTTCAGTGATACAGGTATCAACTAAAGTGAAGAACATCTAGTCTACACAACACCTCGGTGACAACATTCTCAGCTTGGCACACTTTTTTTGTTTGTTCCACGTTTGAGGTTGAATGGCCTTTTTTCCTGTTCACAGACCTAAGGGGTAACACCATATCAATACCCCTAATTTATAATCTTAATTATATTCACCTATTTACTAATTAAAATCTTATTCTGTCTTTCCCCTTTGGCATGATTCTTGGCAACTTCAGTTAATATATGCAATTATTTTGTCTATGAAATACTTAAGTCCATTAAAAATACAGAATTTTCTCAGGAAAGGGAGATGTTCAGTTAACATTCATCCTTTGCAAATCTCAGTGTTATGTATTTTATTTAATCCTTTAAAGTCATAGGTTGCAAAGGGATTAAGATGGCTTGGCATTACTCTTAGTTGGGATCCATGATGGTAAACTAAGTGGAAGTAATTTTTTTTTTATTTTTGTGAGGAAGATTGGCACTGAGTTAACATCTGTTGCCAATCTTCCTCTTTTTGCTTGAGGAAGATTCGCTCTGAGCTAACATCTGTGTCAATCTTCCTCTAGTTTCTATGTGGGATGCCGCCACAGCATGGTTTGATGAGCAATATGTAGGTCCACACTTGGGATCAGAACCCACGAACCCTGGGCCGCAGAAGCAGAGTGCACACACTTAACCACTATGCCACTGGGTGGGCCCAAAACCATTTTTTTTTTTTTTTTAAAGATTTTATTTTTTCCTTTTTCTCCCCAAAGCCCCCCTGGTACATAGTTGTACATTCTTCGTCGTGGGTCCTTCCAGTTGTGGCATATGGGACGCTGCCTCAGTGTGGTTTGATGAGCAGTGCCATGTCCGCGCCCAGGATTCGAACCAATGAAACACTGGGCCGCCTGCAGTGGAGCGCGCAAACTTAACCACTCGGCCACGGGGCCAGCCCCGGCCCAAAACCATTTTTTGATATTAAAAGCTTTGCATGAAGCCTCAATGCATTGTAGTAGTAATCATATATGAAGAATTTCAAATATACAAACTAAATATTAAAATCAACAAAACTGTTGTTTTAATACCTTAATAAAATAATTAATAAGAACTTTAGATAGGACCTTGGCTTAGTGGTTCCCAGACTTTTAGATTGCATGGAGCAGTTAAAAAAAAAGTGGGGACCAATATAGGGCTGCCAACTTTTTATTTTGCCAAGTAAGGATATTTAAAGCAACTGAAGCTACTATCAACATTTCATAAAAGGATCATTCAATACCACAAAAGCTGGATTAATCTTTTAACAAAAATTAAATTCAAGCTGATAACCTTCCATCGGCCTTTTATCTTTTCCCTGTGTGGATGCTGAAAATTTAGTCTTGGCCTAGAATTTGGGAACAATTGGCCTAACATGCCATTTAGTCCAACCACTTCAATTAAAAGGCTGAGAGGTGAGTGGCTTTGCCTGAAGTCAGTTAGTGTTAAAATCTGGGGAAAGCATAGCTTCCGACAACACCCTCACAGATGATACGCAAGCACTAAACATGTTGCTAATTAGGCATCTTAATCAATGTTTACCTGAAAACAAAACCTGTCATAAGTAATGTAAAGTCAAATAAACCTACCTACTTTGTAGTAGAAAGACTTGGTATACATGACTGTCCCTGTTTGAGTTTGTAAGGGAAAATAACCTCAAGTGATAAGTTATCATAATTATATAACCTATGTCAAAAATGATATAACCTAACCTGTCAGCTTTTAATTCTCCAAAATGTTTCATTCTCAGTGACAAGGTCTACAGAAGATGCTTAATAAACGTCTGTTTCACGAACAGATGAACGTCACTCTAAATCTCTGCAAAACAAGTTTCTTCATCACATTTAGAAGCCTCTCAACCTAGCACATCTTGCAGAAATCACTGGGACAGAAGTGACATAGAGAAAAGAAGATGGTGGTGGTGTCGGGGAGCCCCACTTGCCTGATTTCTCAATCAAATGCAAAAGGAATTAGAAGCTTTAGGGTGCTTAAATAAGAACAGTAATTGCACACAGTGATTTTTGCGTAAAAACACCTCACATCAACTTGGCTACACCCACTTTACTTTTTAGGTTAACGAAGTAACACAGAAAGAGTTTAATATCCCAAAGGAATTCTAATTCAAAAGCATGTAATGAAACTAACGTAATCTAGGGAATACTTTTACTTCATTATTTTGGACTATCAAAACGCAACAGCAGATGCGCATTTCACAATTGGGTGATCATTTCCAATTTCACCATAAACATACACACCCCTTTGGAAAGTAATTTTGAGAATTGGCACTAGTTTCTTCTTACCCCATTAGCTACAAAAATGCATGACTAGGGGGCTGGCCCCGTGGCTGAGTGGTTAAGTTCGCACGCTCCGCTGCAGGCGGCCCAGTGTTTCGTTGGTTCGAATCCTGGGCACGGACATGGCACTGCTCATCAAACCACGCTGAGGCAGCGTCCCACATGCCACAACTGAAAAAAAGGACCCACAACAAAGAATATACAACTATGTCCCGGGGGGCTTTGGGGAGAAAAAGGAAAAAAATAAAATCTTTAAAAAAAAATGCATGACTAATTTCAAATTCAAAATTCAGAATACAGTGTTTGTTAAATGGAAGTCTCTTTGTCACTAGCTTTGGGAGGGCATGGATTTTTCTTTTAAACAATTAACCTTTAAAACCATGATGCTCTCTTTTGCTGACCCATTCATACCTATTTAAAAGAGGCGGGGAGAGGCATGGAAAAAAATCACCCTAAGAATCTGATAGGTAGAAGCAGCGTTTGTAGGATTTGAGATTTTTGAGCCAAAAATGTGCCTTAAAGACAAGTTAACTAAGTCACACGGGCTACTTAAAACCATATACACAATTTTGGTATCAGCTTTGTCTACTGTAACAGACAAAACCATACATTGAAAAAATATCAGTGATCATAAATAATATAAGAATACTGATGTTCGGTTTCACTGATTCCTGTGACTTTCAAGATAATTTTGGATTTTAGCAAGTAGAAATTTGTGATTGACTACTACTGAGAATTCAAGCATACTAAACGATGAGAACGTTTACCTGCTAGGGCTTTCAATTCCAAATTGTTTGCCTGTGTTACATACATATTTTGTCATGACTTTTCCTTTCAACCCATAAAATCAAAAAACTTAACTTTACACTTTAAAAAATATATTTACTTCTGTCAATTCTTGTATTTTTCCTAATTATTTTGTTCTCATCTTTTCTTTTTTCTGAATTAGTAATGAATGCAATGTTTCTGGTCTGAGTCTTTGAAAAACGTTATATAAACAAACATGTCTTCAAATTTTTGCTTTTAAGGTCACACAATTTAAAAGAGGATTAATTCTTATTTTTCTCTCTCAAATAGTTTCTTTGGTAGAATCAGTCATGTGCCTGATTATCGATGGTGGGAAATAAAAATCTTCGATTAGCCCTGAGCTAACATCTGCCACCAATCCTCCTCTTTTTGCTGAGAAAGACTGGTCCATGCCCATCTTCCTCTATTTTATGTGGGACACCCGCCACAGCATGGCCTGACAAGCAGTGCCTAGGTCCGCATCAGGGATCTGAACTGGCGAACCCCAGGCCGTGGAAGCAGAATGTGGGAACTTAACTGCTGCACCACCGGGCCAGCCCCTTCCCATTCCTTTGATCTAGCCTTGTGATTACTATTTCGGTCATGGATGTGTGGCTTTGTGTTCAAGAGACTTGACATTATGTGCTGCAATTCCTTCGATGCCTCTAGCTTGAGCGGTTGCCACTCCATGGGCCAAAATTCTGGAACAATTCCTTCATAACTACTTTAAATCTAACATCCCGTTGATCTAAATTTCCATTATTGGTTCCTTTAATGGATCAATTAAATATCTATGAAGATAAATACAAAGAAGTCACTACCCCTTTATTATTGACCTGGCCCACTTATATAATTCAGCAGAGTAACATTCAAAGTTCATTTGGACTGAAAACTGTGAAAACATAGAAGCTATATTTTCTCAGTGCCTTGACCACTGTCAAGAAATCAAGGTCCTAACAAGTTTTTCCTAGGTTATATTAAGAGATTAATGTAGCTTAATCACACTCAATTTACTTTCTAGGTTAACTAAGTAATATTAAAAGACGATAATTTTTCTTTGAAACCTACAAGTACAATCTGCATATACATGATTTTGAGAATAATTTAATACATTAAGATCAATGCACAACTATGTTCTAATGTCATTATTTGAAATGTAAAGAAACGGATCCTTACAAGACCAAAATAACCCACAGGCTATGAGGTTGGTTTTTACTTTTTCCTTTCTTTTTGTTTAAACAAATGTGCACCACGATGGTTCAACAAGTAAGGCAGATGCCACGAATATGAACGCTGTAGTCTGCAACACACCACATCAAGAATTCAAGGGAGGTGAATTAGACAGAAGTGGTAGTCATTCTAGTTAAACACTCAGGTAACATGACGACAAGCTGGTTTGCAGCATCAGAACTGTCCATTTAAGTGTCTTTTTTCTTAATGATCAGAGGTCCCACGTTGTCTCCAGTCTCTTCATTGTGTTTTGTGTGAGATCCATCACACAATGGGAACTAGGAAGAGAAAGAGAGAATGTGAAACATGTAATCACAAAACCAGTATTACATGATGCTTAATTCACATATATTAACGTGAGAACTCAAAAGATTTTTCAAGGCTACCTTATACAGGTTTTCTTAAAGAGCATTTGTAAAGTGTATATATTAAGTAGGAGGAAGAAATCAACTTGTGGATAATACACAGATCATTAATTGCATTTTCATTTGTGCATTTGATTATGGATGTTAAAAACCCTTTCCATGTTTATGCACTAGTTACATTTCCTTCCTAGTGAACTATGTCCATTGCCTATTTATTTGTAAGAGCCTAAGTTCATTAGTTTAAAATCAATTTGTACATTATCCCTTTGTTGATCATCTTTGTAGCAATTTTTCCTACAACCTTTTTTATTTTGCTTATTTGTTCATATCCTTAATTTCTCCAGTTTTATACAAACAAGCCAATATTTCCCTTCTTAGCATCCTCCATTGAGACTTCTTTCTCCTAGAGATGTGATAAGTTTCCATTCCTTTTCATGATTTCTCATTTTAGATACAACTGACATTTTGGTGTCCAGTGGGTGGAAAAGGGAAAAAACAATTTCTAACACAGTGTTTCCCAAAGTGCTCCAAAGAAGCTAAGTCCTGAAAGATGTTCTAATTTGGTTTCATTCTGTGTTTAAAAAACATATATAGCTCTCTTGATTCACAACATATATTGTTATTTTAAAGAGGTCCTGCTATAAAAAACCCCAGAATTTTAACCCAAAATTTGGCAAGCTGACTGGACTATGGACACTTTTAACTTTGATATCCACTGTCATAGTGCTCTATACAGCACATTTTGCAAAATGCTGTTCTAAGATCCTGTTGCTTCATTATTATTAGAGGCAGTTGCTTCCCAAATTGTTATACTTTTATGCATAATTTTATCAAAATAAATTCTACATACAAAAATGCCTACATAGGGCCTGCACGATGGTACACGGGTTAAGTTCACACATTCTGCTTTGACGGCCTGGGGTGTGTCGGTTTGAATCCCGGGTGCGGACCTACACACTGCATACCAAGCCATGCTGTGGCAGGCGTCCCACATATAAAATAGAGGAAGATGGGCATGGATGTGAGCTCAGGGCCAGTCTTCCTCAGCAAAAAGAGGAGGATTGGCAGCAGATGTGAGCTCAGGGCTAATCTTCCTCAAAAAAAAAAAAAAAAAAAAGCCTATTTATAGGTTCTATATTATCATTATTCATCAGGCAACTACACTGGAATAATGACTTGTTTAAAATATGCTTCAATATTTGGTAGAGCTAGTTTTCATTCATATTATTCTTTTATTAAACCTTTCCTATTTATTCTTTACCTAACTTTATCTATTTATTCTTCCAGATAAACTTCAGAATTTTTTGCCAAGTCCTGTTTTACTTCTCTTGTAGTTTTCATCCTCACGTGCCATGCATATTCTGGTAAGATCACTTCTGCCTTATATGTTTTATGGTTATTACAACTAGGTACATTTTCATGCCTGACTACTCTGGCTATTTTTGCAAGTATATCCTTCCTACTGCTAAATGATAAAGAATCCAACAATGTTTTAAGTGTCTCCTCAGGATTTTACACTCAGAAGGTCCAAGCATCAGTAAATTATTTTGTTTCTTTCCTTCTAAATTTATACGTTTTATTTCTATTTCATGTCAAACGAAGATAGATAGCATCTTTGTTTTATTCTCGATATCCTGAATGTACTTAAACTCTAAAATCTAGAATTTCTCTGTTTAGTACAAGGTACATTGTTGCATTGAAGGAGCCTATGCGGAAGAGTAAAGTAACAGACATCTTGGCTTGAAGAGTAAAATCGCTGCATTACTGGGGCTGGCCCCGTGGCCGAGTGGTTAAGTTCGCGCACTCCGCAGCAGGCGGCCCAGTGTTTCGTTAGTTCGAATCCTGGGCGCGGACATGGCACTGCTCATCAGACCACGCTGAGGCAGCGTCCCACATGCCACAAATAAAAGAACCCACAACGAAGAATACACAACTATGTACCAGGGAGCTTTGGGGAGAAAAAGGAAAAAATAAAAAATCTTTAAAAAAAAAAAAAAAATCGCCGCATTACTCACAGTGAAGGGAGTATAATTTTAGATACCTGAAACTAATCTTAAACTCTGATATTAGAAGTGTTTATTCTAAGATTACAATAACATTGGGTTGATGTTAAAGAAACTCAATTTTAATTTTACTATCTGTATATAATACTGAGAAGCAGTAAATGAGTTAAAGAAAAATTCAAGGTATCAGCATATCTGAAATTTCTTGGTACAAATTCTATCTTGGGGTAGATGGTAACATGTATAAATACATATATTATATATACATAAATGTAATATATATAAAACTTACATTATTTCTTTTTGTTAGGTCAATAAGATGTGTTACACAGTAGATTCATACTAAAGACAAGTCTTTGTAGCAAAAACATGAACCCAAGCTTTCAGTTTTTTCTTGGCATGGATGAGGAGAGAGGCCATAAAAAAATCAAGCTGAGGGGCTGGTCCCGTGGCCGAGTGGTTAAGTTCGCGCACTCCGCTGCAGGCGGCCCAGTGTTTCGTCGGTTCGAATCCTGGGCGCGGACATGGCACTGCTCGTCAGACCACGCTGAGGCAGCGTCCCACATGCCACAACTAGAGGAACCCACAACGAAGAATACACAACTATGTACCGGGGGGCTTTGGGGAGAAAAAGGAAAAAATAAAATCTTTAAAAAAAAAAAAAAAAAAAAAAAAAAAAAAAAAAAAATCAAGCTGAAATGTATCCCACAGCAAAGAGCAGCATTTCAAAGGGACGCATGTTTAATAAACAAACAGATGATTTTACAGTGAGAATAAAAGTTTACTTTGTAAAACACTCGATTTTTATAAATAGCACATACAAAACAGGGCACTGTACAGTTTTATGCATCCAGGTTCTAAAACATATTTTTGAAAAATGACATATTTGTAAATTTAAAAAGCTTACTCAAATAACTTACTGAAATAGTATGTTTAACTTTTATTTCTTTCTTAATTTCATGTTGAAAATATTAGAAAACTAATGTACTTTCTCTAATTATTTTGCTCCATATATAGAATCAAGAACAGGAGAGATATCCATAGAGAAATATATGAAGCAAATCTAACAAAAGATTAAGAAAGTCATACATTTAAAATGCGAATATATTTTTTATAACAATCTTGTTCTGCCTAAAAACTGAAATTTGCCTGTTTCACCAAGTTCTTAAAAGTAAACAAGTAAAAGGTAACTATTTCTTTAAGAAGTAGTGAGTAGTAAACCCTGGCTATATGTTAATAAACTTTCAAGCTTTTAAAGTGTATAAAGCTTTTATGCATTTAAAATGTAAACCAGGTATTAAAAATCATTTTGTTCAGAGTAGAAGATATCTTTTAATAGTACTTTCTATATAACTTAACCCCAGGAATTACTGAATAATTTAATAAATTTCAAAATTTTAAGTGAAAGTGGGTTAATAAAACTCTCATTTTCATTACACTATTATTTAATACTATACTTCTTAGATTAGGTTTGAAAATATATATCCACCACACATTTTCTATGTCCTGCATAGAAAGGAGAAAAAATAAAACAAGATACCTCCTGAAAAACATAAATATTGTTATAATATACTATTTGAATTTTAAAGCCGAGTAATTACCATTCATTCATTTATACTCTATTGAGAATCATGAAACAATTTCAATAAACATGTTCTATTAACATGTACAACACATTCTTCAGAAATTGCTAACCCTATCATGAAATAACTCATTTTGACTTTGGTTGAGAAAAATGTTTAAGTCTTTTCATTAATTTAAAATGAGTAATCCCTGGGGCTCACCCAGTGGTGTAGTGGTTAAGTTTGCACACTCTGGCAGCCCAGGATTCACAGGTTTGGCTCCCAGGTGCTGACCTACACACCACTCATCAAGCCATGCTGTGACAGCATCCCATATACAAAATAGAGGAAGACCAGTACAGATGTTCATTCAGGGCCAATCTTTCTCACACACACACAAAAAAGGGTAATCCCTAATGAATAAATATGAGAATACCTAATCTTCACATGAAGTTTGGGAGATGATTCTGGGGTTCAATAATTAGCACAGAGTTGATTAAAATTTGTTCTGGGATGCCAGTGTTTATTTATTAAGAAATTGTGGAGAAAGTTGTGATTTAAATCAGCTGAATTTCCTGTATGTCTAGAAAATATTCCATTATGTTTGTTAACCCAATTAGACAACTGCAAATTCCAAATATTTTTTAAACTAGGGAAGAAAGGGTGGGGAGAAGAGGTTGGAATAAATGTTTAGGAGGAAAAAACTACTAGAGATCCTTCATCTTTACTCGGAAAGCTAGCAAGGTTATCTTCATTAAAAGACACAAGATTTGAGTTTTTCTTAATGATCCCACATCTCAAGTTATGAACTTTCTGTTATTAGGGTGATTCAAGATGGAAATAAAGGCTTTTCCTTAACTTGTATCGTCTACCTGCAACAACTAAAAAAAAAATGTATCTTCCTTCTCCAAACTTCGTATTTTTAATGAAATTTGGATTCTACTTCCCAAGGAAGTTGCCTGGGGTCATTTTGGGTCATTATCATAAATTGCTCTGAGAAACATGCTTGCTTTAGTTGAGAAAGAAAACAAAGGCAATGGGATCCTTGAGGCTACCTGATAGAGCTATACGATATTTTATATCATTCTTACATACTTTAGTAAAACTTAAGACAGATACAATAGGAAAATGTATAAAGAGAAATTAAGATTTTACACGACTGTTCTTATGTGGTTGGGCAAGCAATGTACCCGACATCAAGAATATCGTTTCTATAAAGAAATGGACTCACTGCAATCCACTTCCAAGCCATTAATGGGATGGAGATTTTCTGTCACACACACACACAAAACAAAAAGAAGACCACCATCACCACAAAACAAACAAAAACTCCAATCCTGAAGTTGTAAATGAAGGAAATGATCCCATATAGTATGTTTCAATTGTGTTTCACTTCAATTTCAGTTGAGCTCCTGATGTTAACTCACAAGCATTCCTCTATTACGTGATTTTCTTAGTCTACGTTCTTCTGCTGTCCTTCCTCAAACTCTCTCCTGTCTCACAGATGGCCACCATACAACTCAGCAAATGACGTAACCAATGGCAGGGGGTGGGGGGGGTGGGGGTGGGGGGTGGGGTGGGGGGCGGGGAGATGAGGACCCAGCAAGACTATGCTGCAAACTCTTCCCCCTCAGACCAACGTTCTCTCATCTTGTTTCGAAAGTAAGACTATTTTTACGGCTGAGTTTCACATCTGTGCTCTTACTCTCATTTCCTTCCACCCTCTTTTAAGACACCTCTGTCTCAAATAGTATCTTTCCCTGTAGTCGCCTTAGTCATTTCCTCTCTTTTGGCTCCTTTCCTTCTCAGTTCAAATATGGACAGCCCTTTTGTGAAATACTATGAAATAGGCCAGTTTCTGAAACAGCAGAGGGCATACCAAACCTGGGGGGAAGAGAGGAAGAATGAGGTATGTTAAAAAGCATAATTTCTGGACATTACTAAGAGACCTGATTCACCAGGTCCGGGAAAACTGCTCAAAATGTCAGACACACAACACAGGTTACTAGTGGTTATACCTTAAGAATGAATTAGGATTGAATTAAATATATAACTTTTTTTGAGAGAGGCAAAAAGCCATTTAAATTTTATTTTAAAGACAACTGGTTTGTACGAGGAAAAAAACTACTGAATATAAACTCAATTTAGCCATCTAATCAAAGGTATTAATTACAAGTCTTCTGGGAATTGGCATGTAAGTGTGTGACTTGGCACCTGTAAGATAAGCTTAGAAACCTCAGGAATGTGGGGAGTTTCCAAAGATGTCTAAAGATCAACAACATCCACTAACTTGAACTCAACTGATTCACGTGGGAATAAAAAAGTGTCCAAGATTCAGTGAAAATTCAGAACTGACAAATCCTAGATGTGAAGAGGATTACTAATGGCATTACAGATAAGCCCAAAAAAAGACACTGAAAATAAAACGACTGGTCTGGCATCCCATTACATTAAGTCTACCTATGGGAAATGACAACCCCTAGTTTTACCATCTGGAAACTCTAAATTGTGTGATTAAAGGATAGTCCTGGAACACTTTGTTCAACTATAAAGTCTAATAAACATTTCAACCACTAGCTTGTGTCCACTTGTCATTCTTCCTGAAATACTTGAGATCAGGCCGTGAAAGTCCGTATTTGCTTTATCGACCCTTTACCCTCTGGGAAAACCCAATCAAAGCAAACACTTTATTTGACCTCAAAGCTAAGCTTTAGAGTTCACTCAAGCAGTTATTTTTCTTTTCATTCATTGTCACATTTACCGAAATTGTGACCTATACTCAGACTTCTAGCATTTCTTTATTAGTAATTCACACTCTAACCCACTTGGACACAGCTTCTATTCTAATCATTCTGTTGAAAAGACACCAAAAGGTCAAATGCCTACTTGTTCAATCCAACAACAGTCTTACTCTAATAGTTTGCTCACCTGGGTGTCTTTGCGCAAGCCAATGGTCACAACCAAATCTTTGAAACTTTTTCCCTTTTCCACCGTGAAGCCATGATATTCTTAGTTTTCTTCTAACTCTGGCCAAATTCATCTCCTTTTTGGGCTCTTATTCTTCTTTCCAAAATGCAGGAATTTCTCTAAGATTTCATACTTAGCCCTTGATTTTTATCTGTATCCAGGATCTGCTGCATTCCTACACTTGACTCATCACTTTTGCTGATCTCTATCTCCAACCCTAATGTCTCAGCTTTAGTCCCACATTTCAGATCATCTGCTGGACACTCTCATTCAAATGTCACCTCAGATTCACTCTCTGAAATTATCACTGTCCTAGAAAAATAGGTTTTCACCTTGAATTCCTTATTTCTGTTAATGGCATCCCCTCTTCTAATCCTACATGCTTATTTCAGTGAGCTTTAATCTTCCTCACAAAGCAGTCACTGCATTTGACTGATCCTTCCTGCAAAATGTGTCATGCATCTGTTCATTTTTTTTCCATTCCCAAAGCCAGTACCCTGGTAAAAATATCATAACTTTATGTCTGAAGTCCCTGAAAAGGAACTCCCCCATGTTTGGAGGCACTCTTCCACGTCACACTGACACTCAGCACTCCTCAATATGCACTTGAGCATGGGGGAGGAGGGGTGCAAGGACCAGAGTAGATTCTTCATTAATCCCATTTGTGCTCATGTGAGTACTTCCTAGCAGATTTTGAGAACGACTCCCCAACACCTGCTAGTTTCTTCAAACACTACCACCTTTCCAGGGGCATTTTAACTTCCAGGTATTTCACTACGCCTTCCCAGAAAATTCTAGTCCGTGGTGTAAACTCTTCCTTTTACTTGGAGCACTTGTACTGCATCTATTATACACATCTATGATTCCTGCTGTTTTACTATTTAACTTTTCTCATGCATGTATATATAGTAGGCACTAAATGCAGTACTTATCATTGACTAAGGAACTATAACAAGTGACTTAGAAATTCCCTAATTTCTACAGGTATTATTACTTTCTGTATTATGATGAGCAGCAAGGGAATGAAACCTATTATAACTTTAAAGAAAAAACCAGTTCTAGGCTACAGAATATTATTGAGGATTATTTTCTAGCAACTCCACTAGTACTTATGAACAATCCCACGTTCCAAATGAACAGTGCTCTTCTTAAGGTACAACTTGTTGCAATGGGACTATTAATTTTTGGTTCATATTCCATATGTTCATCAAGTAGTTTTCAGACACAATGACATAATCTAAGCACTAGATCACTGGATGATACAACATCACCTGTACTGGGAGAAGAGGGTTAGTGGAATATGCTTTCCAGTACCTAGTATGTGACTTCTTCCTTATTTGTGATCTGTGATTTGTGATAATGGTTTTACACTACGGGGAAGAGGTCCCTGACATAATGTGCTTTCAGAAAGAGATACATCATTTTTATTGTCTATTTTCTTAGGCCTTACAGTGTCACCTTTAGTGAAATCCATTTTATTTAATGCTAATAATGGCAGTACATCCAGTATTTTCACCATATTTCTCACAATACACCAGAAATTTTGAAGTCATTCAACGTATGAAGCTTTTCAAGATGACCTTAGGAGAGCATTTACCATCTTTAGATCTCTAGCTGTCATCACTGTCTAAAAGCTGCCCAAACACTGAAGGCATCACAGATGACACTTCCAAGTGGAACTTGATGAAATGCAATTCTCACAAAAGAAAATAAGATTTTAAAAAATCCTCTGTTAGATATTTAACTATAGGAGCTACAGCTTAAAGAAAGCTGAGGATACAGGGTGAATGTATTAATCGGATAAGAAACTTTCAAGGGCAATTTTCCAAAAGTTTCTCTTGAAATTTCTAAAACTTGTCTTAGAATCCAGGAGCTTGAAAGCTCAAAAAAAGAACTGACCTCTTCTGTTTCTCTTTGTGTTTAGGCCGCAACCTCCCTTTCAAGGCTAAGATCCACTTGGGGAGGAAATTCTAAGAGTAAATAAAGGGATTTTTCTCTCTTCTTTTGCCAAGAATACAGTTACATTCACCTGAAGTCAATGAGAGTACAATGTAATTTTACTGCACAGTGGTTATATATTTTAGTAAATATATTCCTGAAGAGTACATGGAAACACAGAAGAACAGGATCCATTAAAAAAAGAAAGAAAAGAAAAAGGGATATCTTAATATCTCATGACACAAGTTTGATAGAATAGTTTTAAAGGCAATGTTACATTAAAGATGGCACTAAATAAAGGACTTGTTTTCCTCACCTTTTTGGACCTCCAACAACGGCAGTACACAGCTTTATCTCCCAAATCCTCCATGTCAAAAGCGTGTACTACCTTGGGGTTGTCTTTCTGGATGTGAGGGTTGACCATTGATTTGTTGCGATGATCTTTACCATAAAATCTTTTGTAAGCTAGATAACCAATCACAGCTGTGCCCGCAGCAAAGGTAACTGCTGCGATCCATTCAACTAGAGCAGGGAAAGAAAACAGGAATAATGATCAAAACCAAAACACACGCTAATAATCTAACAGGAATGTTCAGGAAATCCAGTTTTTGAGTATTAAGCATCCCAACAGTCAAAGGTTTTTAATGTTAACAAAATGATCAGAACACACTGGTGTAATAGTCCTTTGTTCAGACTTTCCCCAGCCCTTACTAAAGCAACTGTGTATTTTCTGTTGAGTGATGATGGCTAAATGAAGATAGAAGAGGGAAACTTATTTTATTGATGGAGAAGGAAAAACAAGGCTTAATAATCTTTTTAAAGTGTTCATAAGTAGATTTAAAATAATATGAGCCTGCAGATACCTATTACTTAGACAAAACAACTGATACATAAAAAAATTCAGATTACAAGCAAGACCATAAAAATTCAGATTGCAAATGACCTCCTCCCTCCCTCCCCACACCCGCCAAAAAAAAACCAGGTGATTATGTTAACAGAATGACTTATCAGAGTTCATTTAAACAGTAGATCTTTTAGGGATTTATTTATTTATTTATTTATTTGGTGAGGAAGATTAGCCCTGAACTAACATCCTCCGCAAATTCCTCCTCTTTTTGCCGAGGAAGACTGGCCCTGAGCTAACATCTATGCCCATCTTCCTCCATTTTATAAGTGGGACCCCTCCACAGCATGACTTGATAAGCGGTACATAGGTCCACACCTGGGATCTGAACTGGTGAACCCTGGGCTGCCAAAGCAGAGTACGGAAACTTAACCACTACACTACCAGGCCGGTCCCACTTCAGTGCTTTTAGAACACATTACCACAAAGTTGGTATCTGAAGAAAAAACAAAAAAGGACAAACCAAACAAAACCACCCTTCCTACTAAACATTCAGACGAATATATCCAGCAGGATTGTGGGCTTCAAAGTTATTCTTTTTTTTTTCTTAAATTTCAAAGTGCTTTCTCATTAAAATAAAAATCAGAATGTACTCATTTCATATTTCGTAAAAAACATGGTTAATATAATTATAGTTATATTCTCATTTAATAAATTCTAAATTTCCATTGTCAACTAGTGGATGATCATTTGAATTCTCTGCTAACTTCATTTTAAATTTAATGACATTTTTCTACTCAATTATTTGCTTGACTAACAGGCCATCTATTCTTTTCAATGTAGCTTTCAAGGAGCCCTTAGAAAACCAAGCACTTAACAACTACCCCAGTTCCAGGGAATGTTGGAGAGAAGCAAGTTCTGCATAGTCTGGTTAGCCTCAGCCTCAGAGGAGAGTTGTCTATTCCCAGCATGGAGTGGACTGCAGAAGAAGGTGAACAGGGGTCAGGATAAACACGCTGGACTGCTTCCCAGCACTTCCTGAGTCAGATCTTCATAGCGTTTGAAATAAGTTCCCAGACTATCAAATAAAGCCCTAGAGAGATAAGTACAAAAACACATTCCAAGGCCAAATAAAAACATATAATGAATAATTAACCATATGGCTTATTTACACTATTGAGTCAAATTTCTTACTGCACTAATACGAGTAAATACCATACCTAATAGCGCCTTACATAAAATTGGAGCTCATTCTTACAAAACTCTAATGGGAAGGAACAACCATTCTCACACTTAGTTCTTTTTATCTTGGTCTCCTCTTCTGGCTTATTTAATAATTTAGTTTTTATCAAATGCTTCTAATTAGCATGCTCCTTGGATTCCATTTTCAACTATCGTATTTTTCTCTACAAAGTAATTTAGTTTGTTTTCCTTCCCACAACATTTCCATTCCTCCTTGCTATAATACCCTCAAATAAACATGAATGTTATGTCCTTCCGAGGTGCTGCACGACTGGGAAAACAAGTTAATAAGTCATTTGACAGTTTCAAACCTTTGGCCTCATTGGAAGGATATTTCTTAACCACAAGCTTTATGTAGATTTGTCTTGAACCTTAGTGCTGCTTCATGGTATTACCCTGCGGCGATTCCAAGCAGGGCTGAAACTTTGCTCTGATTTCTAGCTTGATTCATGATCTTCCCTTTGGGCTAAAGTATTGCTTTGCATAGTATATGTTCAGTTATGTTTGCCGAACGTTATCTTTAGTATAAACTTAAAAGGGAGAACATCCCAAAAGACTAAAATAACACAATTCCCTAAATGCTACTGATCTCAGTTACACCTAATTTTTAGGTGAATTATGAAGTAATCTCTGATTTGTTTTAATGGTGCCTATATATTACAAAAAGGCCTGAGCTCCAAAGAATAACTACAATTGGCTAGCATTAATTTGTCTCACAATATTCTCTTTTTAGAGAACCCGCTAGGAATTTCTACCTGAAATTCATGATAGGCCAAAAGAATCTTTCTTAGCCATTAAAACATTCTTCTATTCTCTTTTCTCATATTACTAACTGAATCCAAATGGTGACCTTTTTTTCAAACTTTTACCTCTCCTGGATTTTTTGATGGTGGAAGAAATGACAGAATAACTGACATAGAAAAGAGGCAACAGCAAATGAAAGAAATGGGAACTGACTCTAACTATTACCCAAGAGTAGCTGCCCCATGGGGGAATCAAAACACACACTCTGTGACCCTACCTCCTGACAACGGTCACTTATAACCCTATATAAATGTCACAGTACCATATGTGTGCTAGGAAAATGGCTTTGTATTTGCTCTAATGAGTTTTTTGGAATCACAGAGCTAGATTAGGTCCTAAGAATTTCCATTTCTTTTTTCCCCCGATCCAAAATTCTAGTTTTCTAATCTCATTTGAGACAAATGTAAAAGTTCCCAGAATAAGAAAAATGTTGCTGTTTTATCATTTCATTTCTGCAGCCTGAAACAGTTTTCTGGCAAAAAGCTATGGATGCCGTTGGCACTCTAGGGAAAAGAAGGAAAGGAAAGTATATGGAGATAGACGAGAATGATTGATTCAAAAGCCAAGAATCAGAGTAGAGAAAGAATTGAAAACCCAAGACAGTTAACAAACAAAAACAATAAAACCCAAGTAACATTTAGTCCTTGTCTATATGCCTATTAAGAATAGACACAACCTCAGAGACAACAAGGGATTTGCCAAGACCCAATTGTTAGCTGGCACCTTTCAGACACAAATCTTTTAGAACTGGCGTCCAGAAAAATCCTGAGCATTATTTCTGTCTCTTCTGGTTCATCCTCACTTTTCTATAGACATCTTCCAAAGTATAGTATTCCTACTTTCTATCTATACAAATACCATGAATAAGCCAATATGAGGACCAAAATACAAAAAATACATTTCTAAATAATCCCTCCCTTTCTTTTCTTACTCTTCCCATGGCCCACTACTGTATAATCTTTGGTTCTCTCTCAGAATTATTCAGAGGTCGAGAATACATGAACTTGTTCCCAAATCTCTTGTTTATGACCCATTCCTCAGCTTTTCTCTACTGTGGGGATTATTTCGATTTAACTTAGACAGAGATCTCACCCTACTTCTTTTCCTTTTGCCCCTTGTCTGCTCCAAACTGTCTTCTCCTGCCCAGTATCAACTGCCACAGAATCAGAACGTTCCTTTCATCTCAGGAGAGGGGGAGGGGAGCTGTGTTTAAATCTTTCACTCCCTTAGGTCTCCCCCAGATTGGTAGGCTGTGCCTGGTAATGTTTTCCTCTCAAGGCCTGCCGTACAAATGGTGTTCAGGGTTAGTCGATAAAAAGAAATAATAGATTACTCCATCTGTCGTCCATCCTACCATCACGTTGCTCTTACACCAAATGACTTATCTTTGGCCTCATCTTAACCTATTGTATCCAGGTGTGGAATTTAAATACTTCCTAAGATTAAAAATAAAACTTTAGGGGCTGGCCCTGTGGCCGAGTGGTTTAAGTTCATGCACTCTGCTTTGGTGGTCCGGGGTTTGCTGGTTCAGATCCTGGGCATGGACCTATGCACTGCTCATCAAGCCATGCTGTGGTGGCATCCCACATAGATGAACTAGAATGACCCACAGCTAGGATATACAACAACGTACTGGGGCTTGGGGAGAAAAAACACCAAAACTTTATTATGGAACATTTCAGACATACATAGGGAACACTATAATGAACTCCCATTTACCCTCACCCAGCTCCAACAAATATCAATTCACTGCCAATCTTATTTCATCTATAGCCACCAATCCCCCAATGATTTATTTATTGTTTATAACCTATATGAGCTACCTCTTTTATTCTCAGTACAATCTGCACATTCCTTCTCAGGAATGTGAGAAACCCTTAAAGAGAAAATTTTAAACCTATATAATAAATGGATATATTCACATTAAAAAAATAAAGTTACTTTAAATGACTCAATTTATTGAACCCAAACAATATTTTCATATGTCAAGATTAAATGAACTGGAAAATTATGAATTAGTTTCAATCAAATAGACAAAGATATAAAAGTCAGAGAATAAGCACTTATGAAATTCAGTTTTGGTTATGTGCACTGTAACATTCAGGGTTTAGGATGAATAATAAAGTGCAAGGTCGACAGACAAACATCTATTTTGTAACTTGAGGCTAAAGCAAATACGAAAAAAAGTGATTTGAGGGGACAGCAGGTTAAGGAAGGCCTTTTAAAATATTTGGTTTAGGGGCCGGCCCGGTGGCGCAGTGGTTAAGTTTGCACGTTCCACTCCGGCAGCCTGGGCTTCACCGGTTTGGATCCCGGGTGCAGACCTAGCACTGCCTGCCAAGCCACGCTGTGGCAGCCATCCCACATATAAAGTACAGGCAGATGGGCACGGATGTTAGCTCAGGGTCAGTATTCCTCAGCAAAAAGAGGAGGATTGGTTTTTTTTTTTTTCAGGGATGAAGGTGAATTATGAGTGACTTTGGGCTAAGAGAAGAAAACCCCTGTGAGTAAGAGGCCTGAAGATTTAAGAGTAATAGGTATTAATAGTGAGGCAAGAGTTTAAAGCAGGAAGAGAAAACAGCATCTGGAGGACATGGAAAGAAAAAGGTCTCAGTTAATCTCTTCCTTACAAACAGAGGAGAAGAGGTTAAGGATGAGAGCAGATTCAATGAGTTTTGCAGGTTATCAAGGAGTGAGACGTCTAGCAAACTTCCTGAAGGTGATCTATTGGGTATGAGAGGGAGTCACTAGAGACTGGGGACTCCATAGTAGTGAAAGCCACTTAAATGTTAGAACTGTGGGGCCCGCCCCATGGCCAAGTGGTCAAGTTTGCCCACTCTGCTTCGGCCACACAGGGTTTCGCCAGTTTGGATCCTGGGCACGGACATGGCACCGCTCATCAAGCCATGCTGAGACAGCGTCCCACATAGCACAACCAGAGGCACTCACAACTAGAACATATAACTATGTACTGGGAGGGCTTTGGGTAGAAGAAGAAGAAAAAAACGAAGATTGGCAACAGATGTTAGCTCAGATGCCAACCTTTAAAAAAAAAAGAAACTGTAATAAACTAATATTTGGTATCAAATAAAAAATAAGATTGGTATGTCAATTATACCTCAATAAGGAAAAAAAATAAGGTCGGTGTCATAGACCAAACAGGTATCAAGAGCCATCTCAGGGACTGGGGTCTTTGGATTTTAATTCCAATTACTCACCTTCATTGCCTCTCCCAGATTCATGTCCTGGCCTGATTCTCATTAATTTTATTTATAACCCACCCATTATTTTTCCTCTAAATAGAAACAAGAATTCTGCATGCATACAAATATCCTTTTATTTTTTATTTAACATATACTTACATAGTGCTTACCATTGTCAAATACCATTCTAAGCCCTTTATAATTATTAACTTATTTAGTTGAGAAGAGACATGGTCATCTTCCCCAAAATCAAAAGATCTAAACTGATTTTCACTCTATAGGAATTAATAGGTTTGGTTTAAAAGTTGGGAGTAGAACAATTTGAGAGCTAAACATTACAAGGTGGATTCCCAAGACATTCCCTGTCCCTACCTTGCCACACCACTATATTTGAGGGCAAAGGTGCTGGCAGAAGAGATTTACAAAGGTGTTGGGCCTCTTTCCAAAGTCCTCACAACAACTTTTATGCTTTTAGGTGAAAAAAAAGTAGCTACCTCTCATAACAAAGTTGAGTACTTCAAGTTTAATCGCTTCAGCAAGCAATTACCTACCCCTTAGAAAATGCCAAACTAATAAGAAAGTCACCTTTGGATTCCCCTATGGTTAAGATTAAAAAAACAACAAACTTGTCTTGACTGCAAGAAAGATGAGCCCGCAAATAGAGTTAAAAAGTCCTAGAGGGGTTGGCCTGGTGGCATATGGTTAAGTTGTGTGCTCTGCTTTGGTTTCTTGGGTTTGGATCCCAGCGGGGGACCTACACACTGCTCCTCAAGCCATGCTGTGGCAGCATCCCACATACAAAATAGAGGAAGACTGGCACAGATGTTAGCTCAGAGCCAATTTTCCTCACTCTTCCACCCCTCAAAAAAGCACTAGGATTCATCTATATCTATCTCATTTCAATACTAGACTACCCAAAGAGAGTTTAGTGCCCATTTACACACAATGACTCCACATTTTAAAAATACGTTTTGGAATCTTTGGGCCCATATCACACAAACACAAACTATCTTCTGAAATTACCGGTGGCTCAAGTCACATGAATATCTTATTTTACACAACAGTCTTATTCCTGAGAAAGTAAAGGTCTGAGTTTTTTTTTAAAAAAAAAACACAAACAAAAATCACTCCACATTTTAAGTGCACCAAAGTGCTTCTACTTAAAGGAGCCCAAAGATGAGTATCCTTTGAAATAATTTTTGCCAATAATCACCTCCTATATAACTCATTAGTAACTTAAAAATGTCACGGGTTATCACTCTCACTCTGCCAGGTAACTTTGGACAACAAAAGTGGAATTCTCCAATTTAACAGACTCGATTACAAAATTAAGGCTAAAGTTAGCAAGGGCTTTTTACTGAACCTGAGGCTCTAGCTGCCCAATATTTACTAAGTGAACTGACGGGACTATTTTATATTAACTTCTAAACAATCTCTTTATCTTTACTTAACTACTGTTACAGGTAAGCAAGCACACCTTGAGGTGTGGCGTTTTACACCTGGGCAGGGAGATCACATGTATCACCTAGCTGATGCAGTTATATATTAACAATTATACCACCACCAAGAATTGTTATAATGTGAAGCCTTACATTAACCGACTTCTAGAAAGTCTCTTAATTTTAACTGGACCTTCTGTGAAGGTACGTTTCTAAACGCCAGGTACTAGCATAAGAAGCAAGGCTCAGAAAACTGAAGGCTCCGTGAGCTCGATTTTCAATCCTCTCTCCTGGACTACTGCCACCGAGCGCCAGATGCCAGAGACATTAAAAAACTGGGAAAACTGAAGACTTCGGACTGGATTTCTTCCCTTAAAAAAAAATGTGCAAAACTAAGATGTGATTAGTCATGCATCGCTTCGGGGTTGCAGGAAATCGACCTCCTCACTCCACGGTGATTTAAACATGAGAAGGGGGAACAGGTCTTTTTTTTTTTCTTCCCACCTTTCCTTTTTCCAGGCTCTGTGACTTAAGAACACAGAGGCATCTCAGGGGGAGAACGAGAAAAGCTAGCAGCGAGATCATCAGGTTTTAGGGTTTAGCTAGTTACGGGAAACGTGGTTCAGACCTGGGTGGGTGCTTGCGTGCCCCCCACGCCACTTATGCCCGAGGATATCACCAATCCATACCCTGACCTCGCCCCCTTTCCCCGTCTGGCCCAGGGAGCCCGTAGGCCGGCCCAGCGCTTGCCCTTCTGCATCTCAAGGTTACGGGACCGGCGGGCGCGCAGCAGGGCAGCGGTAGCAGCCCAGAGAAGCTGAAGAAGCTGCAACCGGGGCGCAGGCCGTCCCCCGCTCCCAGGCCCTACTTCACCTTTTACGCTGGAAGTCAGACTCATGGCGCCGTCGCTTGCCAGGCGTGTGCACAGGACACAGACCACAAACGGGCTCGCACGGACAGCAGGAGTCAAGGTGCGACAGGCGGCCTAAGGGCACCTACTCCAGGCTGCTACGGCGCAGGCGCCGAGAGCACGTGTGTATTATCCACCCAAGTAGATGTTGAGCATGCGCGGATCTGCCTCCCGGGATTTAGGGAAGTCTTGAGTCCGGATTTTGACAGCAGCAGGAGCGGGGGAGGAGGAAGAGACCTAGAGAGGTAGCAACTGAGTTTGCGCAATCCTGAGGCGCCCTGGGGCAGGGCCTTGGGAATACGTAGTCCAGGCCAGATTTTACATCTCTTCCAGGTGTGCGGGTTTCTCAGGGCAGAGGACAGGTGCTGGTGTAACACTTGGCGTAAACAGATATCTAAGATTTTACCCACAATTTTCTTGCTCGGTCCAGTACCTGCAGGCCAGGTCCAGTTTTCATATAAAGTGCCAGTGGCAGACACATAGGAATCAATTCTGGAGTCTCATTCCAGAAGCTCCCCGCGCTCCCGGTGTGCATCCCTTTCTTCTGCCTTTGACCCAGTTATCTCTTGAGGACCTTGGAACATGCGCTAAGGCTCGAGTGGGAGAGAGAAAAAAGCGGCTCACTTCTTTTAAAAATGTG